TTATTGGAAAAGTCTCCAATATAATCCCATAAGTTGATAAGCCCAAATTTAAGTTGCTTATATATGGTAAGTAATCTCACATTGAAATTTTACAATAAAAAAGACTTATTTATATAGTGGGATGTGTGAACAAGCTATAATTTAATAAGTGACTTACAACTTAGATAACTTTGGCTAGCCATAGGCTAGCGAACTAGCCACCACTAGAGTGGTGCTTCTCACCACTCGTGCCGTGCCCTACCCCGGTCCGCGCACGTCGCAAAGTTCGCATTGGGCACTTTAGAGGCGCACTTTGCACTTCACATGTATGCATCGTCTCGAGGAGCTAGGGAGCTTTATAGTTTTCTGAAATGGACTCATGGTTAGATAACATGGCAATGGGAGGCTCAATGAGTTGGCATCCTAGGTGGCACACACGTAACATGAGGCATCACTTCGTCCTGCATGGCAGTTTGTTCAATTGGTTGTACAAGTGACATCTACATGGCTAGTGATTATTTAGAAATTGGTGAATATGTATGATGTATAGACACTACACTTCATGGTTTAATCTAGGCCGTCGATCATGAAAGGTGCGATCTAATGGCTAAGACGAATCAGACCAAGTGGTGCATCATCAGTTCATGAAATGTCACATACCCATTCAATGAGACTTCAATATCTATAAATAGAGACCTCCAACTTCATTTTTCAATACACCAAATCAATTGAAATATCATTGATTTCTAAATTCATTCTCTCTCCAAATTCTGTTTACAAAAATTCTTTCAAATTTATTCCGTTCGAGGATCATTCTTTGGTTCGACCGACAATGTTGGTATTGTGCAGTATCGACTTTGGATTGAGCGTTATATCTTGGGAGACAAATGTTCATAATCTCGTTTGCACTTTATTGGGGGGCGAAATATGTCTTTAGAAGATTTGTTTTGGCATACCTCGCTTCATCTGTTGCATTTCACTTTTTGTTCATTTTATTATTCTTTCGATTGAGATAGTCGAATTTTCGGCAACACTATTCTGAGTAACATTAATGGTTGTTATGTGGATGTAAAGAAAAAGCTGGTTATTCTCCATTTGTCTGTTGTTTTGGTCCCCATATCCCTAGATAGTTCCCATCTTTGATAAAGATTTGATAGGGTAGTGCTGCTGATGTATCAATGTGTTATGTTAGAACTATCAAAGAATGCATGGTTGAAGGAGTTTGGATGGAGGCTTCTTTTACAGGAGGTTGGCAGCTGTCAGTTTTACTTATTCATTCACCTTTCTGTTTTTATTAAGTCTAGAAACATAATTCACTATATGGGTTACGTGCAGAATTTAGAGGATGGACTGGTGAATCAGAGGATAGTTTCACTGGATACAAAGGCTTGGCAATGGATGTTATGCTTTCTCTGAAAACTACGCGCGTTGGATCTAGAGTCTTTTGGCGTTTCACTTCTGCTCTCAATCTGTGAGGTTTGCAGACCATACGTGGAAAGTGGGCATATGATTTGCTCAGACTCGAAAGGGTGTCATGTCTTCATGATTTCCTTTTTTCTGTTGCTTTTCATGCTTGGAGCTCTATAACANTCTTTGGTTCGACCGACAATGTTGGCATTGTGCAGTATCGACTTTGGATTGAGCGTTATATCTTCGGAGACAAATGTTCATAATCTCGTTTGCACTTTACTGGGGGGCGAAATCTGTCTTAAAAAGATTTGCTTTGACATACCTCGCTTCATCTGTTGCATTTCACTTTCTATTATTCTTTCGATTGAGATAGTCGAATTTTCGGCAACACTATTCTGAGTAACATTAATGGTTGTTATGTGGATGTAAAGAAAAATCTGGTTATTCTCCATTTGTCTGTTGTTTTGGTCCCCATATCCCTAGATAGTTCCCATCTTTGATAAAGATTTGATAGGGTAGTGCTGCTGATGTATCAATGTGTTATGTTAGCACTATCAAAGAATGCATGGTTGAAGGAGTTTGGATGGAGGCTTCTTTTACAGGAGGTTGGCAGCTGTCAGTTTTACTTATTCATTCACCTTTCTGTTTTTATTAAGTCTAGACACATAATTCACTATATGGGTTACGTGCAGAATTTAGAGGATGGACTGGTGAATCAGAGGATAGTTTCACTGGATACAAAGGCTTGGCAATGGATGTTATGCTTTCTCTGAGAACTACGCGCGTTGGATCTAGAGTCTTTTGGTGTTTCACTTCTGCTCTCAATCTGTGAGGTTTGCAGACCATACGTGAAAAGTGGGCATATGATCTGCTCAGACTCGAAAGGGTGTCATGTCTTCATGATTTTCTTTTTTCTGTTGTTTTTCATGCTTGGAGCTCTATAACAGTAATCATTGTAATTCAATGTGGGAAGTTAAAAATTAGTTTTTTGATCTGTATGTACAAGAATATTGTCACTTTGAGGTATGTGTTTGTATCATTAATGTTGCTCAAATTCACTCGTGTTAATGAGGTCTTGTTAATGAAATTGGTTTGATAAGGGAAAAAAAAGGTTATACTCTTTTTTGGCCCGCTTGTTTATGAAGTAATACAGTTATTCTTGGTCTTGATTTGCGCGTGGGACACACCAGAGAAGAATGTAATGCATGAACAATAGATGTGTTTTGCAACATAGATACAAGCCGAAAGTCTTACAACAGAAATAAATGCTTAACTTAAAAACATAAATTCACTTAAAAATGTGATTGAATCTACCAAAGTCTTAAAACAAAGAACACAATAAAAAGAACGACACATTTTCGTACATCATTCTTATTTCTCCATACAATTCTCGAAGTCTTGGCTACAACTTTGACATATGCCCCTGTTCTTGCCTACCATAATGCTTCAAATATGGGAAAGGTGTACACTATTATAATCAAATTTCAAATAAGTTAATCTTTTAGCAAATAAAGTTACAAGAAGTCATAACAAATTCATCTACCTTTTAATTGGTTTGCAAATCAAAACAAGCCAAATTCCAATTCCAATTCAATTTTGCTCCATCACGAGTCAACATCCTTGTTATTGATAAATCTGTTTCATTTCTTCTGAAAATTGACCCATTTTTTGTAATGAAGCTTCCCTATTTTAATATCCCCAGCTCTAACATTTTCATGCAGTCATCAGAAACTAACATGTTACCATTATTCTCATGTTTCTCAAGAAATATTTCAATCATTTTGATTATTTGTTGGCAGAAGAAATGAATGCTATCGATATATTTGATACCAACCTCGAAATTGCCAAATTCGACAAAAGTGAAGAAGAAAACGAAAAAATAAACAACAGGATGTAATGTAATGCATAATGTCAAATTCGACTATGAACATAGACAAGAATAAAGCCGAAATTAAGTAACAGATTGATCTGAGTTCATCTTTTACTAAAATGTCAATCAAATAGCCTGCACCTCAATTTACAGATAAAAAGAAATGACAAAAAATACTTTGAATGAACCTCCATTACTGGGTAAATCATTAGATGTGCAAATCACTCGAAATTTGATATCATAAAAAAATCAAAAGCGCAGTTAAAACACATTAGCATTTACTTCAACCTTATTGAAACAAATAAATGCAACATAGGAGAATATTTCACAGCCCTGTAAACTTGGAATTACCTTCACCATGCGCGAAAGTTGTTGGGCTTGAGGAAATCCCTTCTTCGCGAATCGAATTAGGTGGAAACTTGAGTTCTTTCCTACCTTCAATAGAATTTGGGTTTGTGCATATCGATTTCTAGGGTTCTTCCAGGGCTTCAATTCGGAGTTGGGAGTGAATTGGGGATCGAAAGTATAGTTGAATTTTTGATTTACAAACAGCTGAAATCATATTTCTCCCCAAACGATTCTTCCCGTGGCAAGAAGATAACGTCACCACGGTAGATTCCGCTAGCCACCTCACAAGCCCTTCAAATGGATGCCTGTGCAATGATGGATGGAGCGAAATTTGTCCGTTCAACGACCAGTTGGGTGCGTATCAAAGTTCAGTGACCTTAACGTGACAGTACTCAAAGTTCAATGATTAATGAAACTTTTTACTCAATGAACATGCCTTGCATCTCGATATACCGCCCATTGTCATCCATAATTGGAAGGTGAGAATCGTGATCACTATAAAATGTACAACACTGACACTACCTATTCAGGCAGCCAAAAGTTTCTGTTTCTTGATCCAACCATTTCCTATAAACATTAGCATAAAGTCCATGTACTTGTTTGGTACACAATACTAGAACATGCTTATAGAGCACAGCATAAGAGGAGGATTAAAACAATAAAGGCAATAGTGAAAGATGGTCTTCGATCAAACGTAAAGATGAACAAAAATTTTCCAGAACAGATAAAAATAAAAATAAAAGAATGTACTTCTCACTAATCAAGTTACACTTGACCAATAAGCAAAACTAAACTTTTACAAAGCAAAAGGACAAAATTAATTAAAGAAAACAAAAAGGCGCACCACGAACACGCGGCCACAAATTTCCCAACATTGTCTATAATGATTACAGATAAACATTCCTATGACTGACACTAGTAACATCTTTGAAATAGCAAAAGATATAAATGAAGCAAACATTCATCAACTCGAAACATTATGCCCTTCGATGCCTACAAGTTTGAACCACTAAGCACCTCCAGCAGTAGCATAGATCGGCCCATTAGATCTGAATCCACGACCCCGGCCACGAGATCCCCTCCCACGGCCACGACCTGCAACAGAAGTCCACTAGGCAGTGAATGTCATATTTACAAGGGACCAAGCTTAACAAACGTGAAAGGCTGCTTTATTTCTTTTCTAGGAGTACAGCTCAGTAAACCGACTACAGCTCGCGAAATTTTAAGGAAATCAACTCATAGATGTCAAAGCAATTGAGCCTCACAACAAACAGCAGGTATTTTCAACCTACAGAATCCAGTTATTCATACAAAACTGCCTAATCTTACTGGGAAATTAAAAATAGTGAAGAAATGTCTACCTCGGCCCTGAAAAGGTGCTTCTTGATTGTAACCTCCAGCATCAGGCTGAGTATCCACCAGAGAGCCACCATACCCTCCCCTACCACGGCCCCGGAAATTGCGACCTCTGCCACGTCCCCTACCCCGGGCATATCTAGGATTCCGATCATAACCTCCATCTTCGTACTCAATGGGTGCAAAACCATTCCCTGAAATGACATACAGCTACCATATCATATATTATTATACTTAAAAGAAGTGCTCAAATTTTCAGATATTGAAGGTTCTACCAACCCAGTTGCAGAAACTGCCAACAATTCCAAAAGAGAAGGTACGATTGAACAAACAGAACCCTACCCAGGGCTCCAGGCTCAACCGTAACTAAAAATTCAAGTAATTTACTTGCGCAATTAATATAAACTTTGCCAACCCTCTGGAGATAAGGCTGTTCGTGTCCCCCACCCTTTAGTATCAACTTTCTAAAATGTGGAGGATTCCATATCAAAACCGCTATGACACCAGTGGTGATTTGTAATGGAAAACCTGACGTTCTTCATGAAGATTCCATAAAAAACAGAGACATTCTGTTCCATCGAAGATGAAGCTTATTGCAGCTTAACTAAAGTTTGTTTCATTTTATATTCCAATTTTTTTTATGTCAAACCCAAAACCTGAACAGGTTTGGGTTTTCTATTTCGTATCTTGCACTTTTATATGTCTAATTTCTCAACATTGGTGCAGAATATAAACGGAATCTGAGCTCCAACAGAAACAAGTATAGATTTTTATTTTATTTTTTATCTGTATTCTTAAATCTCGGATTCCCGTATCTTTCAATTTCAATTAAGGGCCTTTCCTTTTTTATCTATTTAAAAAAAATTCAGAATCACTTCCTTCTCACCCTGTATATTGAAAACAGCATGAGATTTTTATTCATACATTTTGTGCACAAATTGCCCATTTTGGGGTTATATTTTAGAGTGATATCTTGAAAATGGGTGTTATCAGAAAGATTTCAGGAACAAGGTTCTAGAGAATCGATTCCACGCTTACTAAATTTTCACATACTTTATTTTCCTTCCACAATCAAATTTCCATGCATTATTTCTAAAATTTTGCCAAGCCATTACATTCCTCTATAATTTCCAATATTAATTATATATATATATATATATATTTTTGGTGATTTTTGAAATATAATATTTTTCTTGTTGAAATTCTCGTAGATAGTATAATATTCATCAAAATATGGAATTTCACATTTCATAGGAAGGAAAAAAAGCATGTTTCCATGTTGTCTATAAAAGGTTTAAATTATAAATAGATAACACTAAATGGTGAATAAGTGATAATACTTGTGGATCCCAAGAAATATATGGATAAAAAGTAATTTGA